CAAGTACCATTCATGTAATACCTAGTATATTAGTGACAGAGCAATACTAGACTACCTAAAGTTGAAAGTTTCAGTAAATTAAAAATATAGCTGAAATATTAATAACATCTATAACTAAACTTAAAGTAATAAAATAAGTAATAAGTAAAATGGGGTATAATTAAAAATGTATATATGAAAAATATAAATTATATATTTATGAAACAATCGATAGTAGGTACTTCTGAAAAATTGAAAAACTTTTGAAGACTTTTTTTTACCTTTCCACATAAAATGTCTTGAATATACCTGTATATACTTGATATATTTTTTTATTACACAATAAACAATGAAATTATTAAATTACTATTCGACTTTTCTTTAATATTTTTAAAACGCACAAAAAATAAAAATAATGTTTGAAAACCACCGTTCCACGTTTCGGCTTGATCAAGTTTAATGTGAATAAAATAACACATATTCAACATAACTAATATACTAAATAACACATAACTCTAGAAATTTTATTCCTCAGGAGGACCATAGATAGATATTTATTTAACGTTTAATTTTAACAATAAAATTTTACTTTTTACGTGAAAAACTGTCTGTTTATGCCGAGGTTCGCAGCCATCTTCTTTCGCAAGCGAAATCGACCCTTATCAACCGACTACGGTAGCGCCCTCTCTTCGAGACCTCTTGAACCACGAGGCGATTCATATCACCGAAATCCAAAATCGAAAAATCCGAACAATTACTTTAAACTCAAATCTGTCTCCATGGCAACAATTTTTACTGTATAAAAATACTACCTTAAATTTTAATTACCTTAGAATTTATCTCGATTTTTTTTTCTAGCCATTTTTAAAATACCTTTCAGAAGAGATTTTTTCAGATAATGTGTTGGCTCACTACCTTTTCCTGTTATTCTTCTGGAGTCTGTAACTTGTAGGGGTGATATAACGCTTCTTTTCAGCACTGCTTTTTTTTTTCGCTATTATCTTCGAGCACTAGAGCTAGCAGAATGATCCCTCCGGTTTTCTTTTCGCGCTTCGCCGATCCGACGACGATATCCGAAATCCGACGTCGACGGGTACCCGTATCTGAGACAACCGAATAGATCCTCGAAACCGACGCGACGCGACGCCTTTACAAAACGATAGTCTCAAAGGTCAAAGTCAAGTCAATAGTCGTCAATAAGTCAGAAATAGGCCGTTACGGCCTAAGAACGCTGGATTAAACTCATCGCCACTTCTGATGTAATCAGGAGATTAATATATTTAACAGAAATTGATATTTAAAATGTAATTCTAACTAGCTTGACAAACAATGTCTTCTCTGGGCCGAAATCAACAATCTCTGACATTCAACTGTTTCCAAAGCCTACTACTCCGCTACTCGCAAACATCCGCGGACACGGGGTGCAGGCACGGCGTGAAAATGACTGCCTATCATAAGGATCATAGGCGTCGATAACAGCGTTTTATTTACATAACCTATTCTCCTCAAATTTCCCAAAATATTGCTTCTGTCGAGGCCCATCCGAGGTAATCACCATAAAAAAAAATTTAACACAACGTAGGTTTCTTTCTTTCATTTAAATTTCTTGTTATACAGGTGGTCAAAATATTACCTCTTCAACTTTGTTGACGAATTTGGGTTGTTACACTACAGTTCGTTGGAATATTATAATGAAATATAATATTCAAATTTAAAGTACACATTATAGAGTCTTTAGAGCTTCCGAAAAAGTCTCGTATATTATAGAGGTTTTTGGTTTGTAATATTCATTTCAATTTTTTACATACAATGGGAGCAATGACAACGCACATTTTGAAAATATTTTTGTCAGCATTCAGGATTTTGTCAACATATTTTCATCCTAAAGTTGTATATTTTTAAATAAAATACTATTGGCTATTAAATTGCCATTCCATGGTATCACACTTTTAATGATAAACACCTTCTATTGAAAAGATGAAAAACAAATCTTGCCCCCTCCCACTTACATTTTCAAAAAAATATAATTTCCACATTAAATATAGGTTTTAGATATCATCATCCTCATTTTCATCTTATTCAGCCATTTCCAATTATGGTGTAACTTGCCTCAAATACTCTCTTTGCAGTTGGGCCCATTGTTATCTCTGCTAATCTTCTAATATCATGGTCCTATCTCAAGTTTGATCTTCCTCTAGGTCTCTTGATTCCTCGTGGGTACCATGCTGTAATTTTTGTGGTCGATCTGTTGCTGTCCCTCTTGCCAGGTGTTCTGCCCATTGACATTTGAGGGATTGCTGCCAGGTGTCCTGCCCATTTCCATTTGTTGACCTCTATTACTGAATTATGGATCTTTTGTCGTATCCCACTTCTTTCATGGTTATTCCCAGCATATTTCGTTCCATTGAGCGTTGTGCGACCTGCAATTTCCTTGCGATGTCTGTTTTAAGTGTCCAGGTTTCGCATGCATAGGTTATGACTGGTAGTACACATTGGTTGAATGTTTTCTTCTTTAGATAGAGTGGCATTCTTGATTTGAGCATGAATGAGTGTCTTCCGTAAGTACTCCATGCTAACTTAATTCTTCTGTTGATTTCTGGTAGTAGAGATCCCGAGCTGTGTATTAGTTGTCCCAAATATACAGGGTGGTCCGAACTGTATTCCGGAAACTTCAGCAGCATATTCTGCAGATAAAAATAAGTAAAAAAGTTCGTATAAATGTATGTCCTAAGATGCTTAGTTTCGGAGAAACAGGGCGTAGAAGTTTCATTTTTATTTCAATTTTTTCCAAATAATTTTTTAAGTAACATCAACATTTGGATAAAAATTGGTGTTTGGGAGTTTTTTGACATGAGAAATTTGATTTTGATGTCAATCTGACTCCTACTAGTAGAGGGCGCCACCTACATATTTTTTAACTGATTTGAAGAGTAATAACTTTTCGTCCGTACCTGTATAAAACTACTGAGTAAAAAACTATACATTCAGGACGTTTTTTACATGAAAAAGGTCTCTTGGTAAAAATCGCTACGAGTAATGGTTTTCGAGATATTTGGAATCGAAATTATCAATACCTATCATCATTGACATAAATTAAACATGTTGACTAAATAGTTATTAGACTTAAATCATAAATTTTAAATGTTTTTGTGCCAAAAGTTCAACAGAAACTGTTTTACAATCAATTTGATTTTGATGTCAATCTGACTCCTACTAGTAGAGGGCGCCACCTACATATTTTTTAACTGATTTGAAGAGTAATAACTTTTCGTCCGTACCTGTATAAAACTACTGAGTAAAAACTATACATTCACGACGTTTTTACGTGAAAAAGGATCTCTTGGTAAAAATCGCTACGAGTAATGGTTTTCGAGATATTTGGAATCGAAATTATCAATACCTATCATCATTGACATAAATTAAACATGTTGACTAAATAGTTATTAGACTTAAATCATAAATTTTAAATGTTTTTGTGCCAAAAGTTCAACAGAAACTGTTTTACAATCAATTTGATTTTGATGTCAATCTGACTCCTACTAGTAGAGGGCGCCACCTACATATTTTTTAACTGATTTGAAGAGTAATAACTTTTCGTCCGTATCTGTATAAAACTACTGAGTAAAAAACTATACATTCACGACGTTTTTTACGTGAAAAAGGTCTCTTGGTAAAAATCGCTACGAGTAATGGTTCTCGAGATATTTGGAATCGAAATTATCAATACCTATCATCATTGACATAAATTAAACATGTTGACTAAATAGTTATTAGACTTAAATCATAAATTTTAAATGTTTTTGTGCCAAAAGTTCAACAGAAACTGTTTTACAATCATTTTTTGCAGAAAAATTTATGATTAATTAAAAAAAATAAAAATTTCCCAAATTTATTATTGCAGTGAAATAACTATCTACTCAACGTGTTTATTTTTCGTCAATAATGACATGTATTGACCATTTCCATTCTAAATATCTTAAGAACGGTTGCTCGTAGCGATTTTTAGAAAGAGATATTTTTTACGTAAAAAGTCACAGAGATGTATATTTTTTCGCTCGGTAGTTTTATACAGGTACGGACAAAAAGTTATTGCGCTTCAAAACAGTTTAAACACATGTAGGTGTAGGTCATATTGACATCAAAATCAAATTTCTCATGTCAAAAAACTCCGAGACCCCAATTTTCATTCAAATATTGACGTTACTTCAGAAATTATTTAAAAAAAATTGAAATAAAATTGAAACTTCTACACCCTGTATCTCTGAAACTAAGCATCTTAGGACATACATTTATACGAACTTTTTTACTTATTTTTATCTGCAGAATATGCTGCTGAATTTTCCGGAATACAGTTCGGACCACCCTGTATATTCTTCTACTATTTCCAGTGTTGTGTTATTTATTAGAATGTCTTTTCTTTCCACTAGTTCGTTGTACATTAGTTTATTTTTTGCTAAATTCATTTTGAGACACACTTTATTGCTGGCTGTATTTAGCTCATTAATTTTTACTTATAGTTCTTCACGACTATTAGCAAATACAACTATGTTATCAGCGAATCATAGATGGTTAAGATATTCTCCATCTATATTTAATTCTTTGTTGGTCCAGTCCAGTTTGTTGGTCCGTGATTTCTACTAATGTTGCTATAAACAGCTTTGGGGATATCGCGTCTCCCTGTCCTACTCCTTTGCCAGTTGGGAGATCTGGGGTTGTTTTATGTATCATTATTCTTGCTTTGGCTTCTTTTTATATATTGGCGATTTTATGTATAGTAAGGTAAGTGTGCCCTCTCTAACAGGAATCATCACCTTGTCGCTGGTGAGAGGGCTCAGTAATCTTATATCCAGGGAGCGATGCCGGCGGTAGCGTAGCTACCGGTAGGGCCACCCATGCCGGTAAGGTTTCGAAGAGATTAAGGTGAAGCTAAGAAGATTCCCACGCAGCGTCTGTCCCAGAATGGGCGGCTGCACTGGTGAAAGGCAGCAGTTTCACCAAAATCGGGCTATAGCGCGAGAAGAATGACTTTGAAGCGGTACAGTGCCGAACACGGAAGAGCGCGGCTGAATCAGCGAAAACAGTCTTCCCACTGCGGTACAGAAAAGGAACGGAACCCTTACTGTAAATAATTTTCCAAAAATCTTAATTTTAGACAAAAACGATAGAATGGCCCTCAGTCCGGGGCACCCCTTAAGTGGGGAGAGAGTGCGAAGAATCCCCCCGTTGCCTACTATTAAGAATCAGGGAAACACAGAGAAAATCAAGATATATGACAATATAGTACGCATTGCCACCTGGAACGTACGTAGCTTGTTTATGCCTGGAAAATTGAACACTGAGGCTGAAATGAACAGAATTAATATTGATATACTGGGACTGAGTGAAGTTAGATGGCCTGGTTCTGGCAGACAAAGAACAAGTAATGGATATATTTATCATTCAGGCGGCACTGACCCAGAGCATCGATACGGAACAGCCATACTAGTTTCAGATAGAGTGGCACAGTCAGTCATAGACTTCGTCCCTTTGGGCGATAGAGTGGCTCTATTAAAACTACAAACAACTCATAGAGATTTAAATATAATTCAAGTTTATGCCCCAACAACAACAAATGACAAACCAGATCAAGAAATCGAAGAATTCTATAACAAAATAGATGAAGTAATGCGGCTCACAACGAAGGGAGAGATAACGATGATAATTAGAGACTTCAATGCCAAAATTGGCCGTGGTGTTGAGGGGGATAGCATAGGGGCATACGGTCTGGGCGAAAGGAACGGTAGGGGAGATAGACTTGTGCAATTCTGTGTAGAGAATAACCTCTTAATCGCTAACACCTTTTTTAAACAGCACCCCAGAAGACTGTACACCTGGAGGTCACCTCAGATAGGGAGAAAAAAATTGTCAGGAATCAGATTGATTTCATTTTGCTCGGCCTAAGCTTCAAAAGGTATATGAAGTCAACAAGAACCTACCCTGGAGCAGACATCGGCAGTGACCACAACCCTGTCGTGCTGGACTTTAGGCTCAAGAGATTCTTGAGAGTAAAAGAGAAAAAACGGCAAAGAAAATAGACATCGCACTATTGAACAACCATGAGAAAAAGAAAGAGATCAGTTCTAAGACCGAAAAAGAACTAGAAATGGTAGAGGTACCTGTACGGGAAGAGGATGTCGAAAAGACATGGAATGATTTAAGAACTAGAATAACAAATATCCAGGAAAAAGATATTGGATTCACGGCAACCAACAAAAAGCAGGAATGGATGACACAGGAAATACTAACCTCATGGATGACAGACGGAAGCAGAAGGCAAACCCGATAGAATATAAACGTTTAAATGGGATCATTAGGAAAAAGTGCCGGTAAGAGAAAGAGATCTGGATGTCAACAAAATGTCAAGAAATAGAGCACCTACAAGCAAAGTATGACACCTTCAATGTTCATAAAAAAGTGAAAGAATTTACAAACAGACACAGAAAACACCAAGAAACAATCCTAAGAAACGATAACAACGAGATAATTCTAGGAGTAAAGGCTAAGCTTGTGAGATGGAAAGAATATATCGAAACACTTTTAATGATGACCGACCCTGTTCCCCACCACCGATAGATCACATACTGAATGAAAAGGCTCCAGCAATAACCAAAGACGAAGTTGTTCATGCAATAAAAGCGCAGAAAAGCGGAAAAGCTACCGGTCCCGATAAAATAAACGTTCAAATACTTAAACTCATTGCAGATAACGAAAGCAGAAGTCTAGATTTGGTAACAGCATTATTTTACATATTATAAAGCTCAAGCAAAATACCGTCAGATTGGCTTAAATCAACATTCGTAACCCTGCCAAAGAAACCCAACGCCTCACAATGTGATGACTATCGGATGATAAGTCTTATGTCCCATGTCCTCAAAACCTTTCTTAGAATCATCCACACTCGAATCTACAAGAAGTGCGAAAATCAGATGGACAACATCCAGTTTTTCTCCGTAAATGTATTGACACAGAGGTGTAGAGACATGAATGTGAATGTATTTGCATGCTTTATAGACTATCGTAAGGCGTTCGACTGTGTTAATCATCGGAAGATGATCAAAATTCTAAGAACAACCGGAGTTGATGAAGAACCTACGTTTTATATCAGAACTTTATTGGCATCAAACGGCGGTAGTTGAGATGTAGTCAACATCGGAAGAGGTGTTCGGCAGGGTTGCGTCATGTCTCCGCTCCTGTTTAACCTGTACTCGGAGACTATATTTAGAGAAGCACTGGATCGAATCCAGGGCGGAATCAAGTTCAATGGAATCCCAATAAACAATATCAGATATGCCGATGATACGGTTATAATAGCCAACGATATACAAGAACTGCAAAGCATTATAGATTCCGTAGTCCACTATAGTGAGATGTTTGGACTGCATCTCAATGTCTCCAAGACCAAACTATTGGTCTTTTCTAAGACTCCAATAAATGCACACCTGCGTGTCAAGGGACAAACAATCGAACAAGTGACCTCAATAAAGTATTTAGGAGCTAACATCAATAGTCAGTGCGACCCGAAAAGAGAAATATTTTCAAGAATTGAGCAAGCGAGAAAAATCTTCGTGAGAATGAAATCATTTTTTACAAGAAGAGACCTCAGTGCGGATCTCAGAACTCGAATGGCCAGATGCTACGTCTTCTCTGTGTTACTCTATGGATGTGAGAGCTGGACACTGGGTTCACAGGCCGAGAAGAGAATAGAAGCCTTCGAAATGTATATATACAGACGGATGCTGCGAATCTCATGGGTACAAAGGATCACCAACAATGAAGTACTCCAGCGCATGCAGAAACAAAAGAGATACTGAATACCATCAAGGAAAGAAAAATGCAATACCTGGGTCATGTGATGAGAGGTGGTAGATACGAAATACTGCGCCTCATAATAGAGGGCAAAGTGCAAGGGAAAAGATCAGTAGGAAGACGCCAGAACTCATGGCTAAAAGATTTGAGGAGATGGTTTGAACGCTCGTCTGCGGAAATCTTCCGGGCTGCAGTTTCCAGAGCCACAATTGCCATTTGGATCGCCAACCTTCGGCAGGAGAGGGCGTGATAAGAAGAAGAAGGTAAGTGTTCCAAAACAGTGGAGAAAAATATTTAGTTTTGAGCCTCTCGCCAGTGACAGTCAATTGACAAATATTGAACCAAAAATGTATATCTATACCACAGTTGAAATTATTAATAATAATAAAGTTGTAATAAATTTTTAACAGCAAAATGGCACATTTTCGAAAACACACATTTTTGAAACTGTCTTACGCTGTGTTTGAAAAGTTGCAATTTAAAACCATTTATTTCATAAAAAATTTCGGATTTTTTTTTAAATTCCGCCCGAACAAAAAATCAATTATTAAAGTCCCGCAAACATTTGCTTTCCTATATGCGGTAACACAGATGCAATATACTCTGTTGTTAATAATTTATTGGTATATAATAGGGCGATATTCTGACCAAGTTGCGGATGTCACAGTAAATATGAGCTTTAACAAACAAGGCTGCCATTAACCCAGAGCGAGAATTAAAATTGATATTTTATTCATCAGTCACGTCCGGCCCTTGAAGTTTGGATTTTCCGGCTTCCGTATTAAAATGCAGATAATAAAACGTTTTAGAATAAAACAAACCGTAAAGATATATCAGGATCTATCTTGAAAGCAGAATTATGTAGGATAAAATGGATAATAATATGACAATAAAATATATTTAATGGTGACTTTAAACTGATCGCTATTGAGGACCTATTTTATGATATATCATATGCCAGTTTAATCAAAAATATTTTAGAGATATTTAGAATTATCAACTAATATTATAAAGAAAGAATTTTTATGCAAAAGAGCAAAATTTACTATGTAAAAATTAGTTTCATTTTAGGATAATTAAAAACTATATTCAAACTCTGTATTCAACTTTAACCCCAAACCCGATTATTTTTTAAGTACCGGGTGGCCAACCAAGAATGGACGCCGGCTGTATCTCGGAAACTACTTATCGTATAACTTTGGGAAAAAAATTATAACAAGTAAATCGATCAAGAGAAATCGCTGGAAATGATTTTCAAGTTCGAAAAATGCCCGCTAGGGGGCGTTTATCTAATAGCCAATCAGAAAACAGGGTTTTTCTAAAAAATATGCAGGTGAACAGGTATTTTAAATATTACTATTATAATCATCGAAAAATTTGTAATTTTTTTGATACAAAATATTTTGCTCTATCTCATAAAATAAAGTGGTGGGGGAAGGTTAAACTTGTTTTTATTAAAATAAGGATAACTCTGGTTTGGGTTACCCGATTTAAACAAACTAGGGCTCGTTTAAAAGAGCTTTTTTTCCTTAATAATCTCCAGTATAAATTTAGTTTTCACTATTTTTTGCATGGCCGCTAGAGGGCGCTGTTTTACATCATAACAGATATTGCGCTTTTGCATAAAAAATTTAAATAGGAGGCTATATTTCTCTTTGCACAATAGAGCAAAAAATTTCCAAAATATCAGCGCAAACCGCAACTTTCTATCTTCTCTCTAACCGGAGATATTAAGAGAACAAATCATGTTAGGCTGCCGCTTTGGATTATATAGTATAAAAATTATAGTAGTAGGCTAGGAAACAAAAAGAGGTAAATTGGTTACGTCAAAATATCAAAACAAATAATTTAGTTTCCTTTTAATACCATTTAATTATTATTTATCCATGTTCGTTCTTGATTCGATCCTATAAATTAAACCCAGGCATATTCAATCCGATGACCTAGCTGGCCATGGAAGTATGCCGCTCCAGCGTCTCTATCTACTAAAGTAAGTGGTATCCAAGAAGCCCCACACATTCGTAGCAAAATAAGCGGCACAACTGCCTCACCAATACCAACTGCATTCATGCTGATGAAAGTGCAACAAATGCAATTTCATCATGGTGAATCCCCTAACAAAATTGGCAATTCATTTCTTAGAAATTATGAATAGTTCATTTCATTCGGGTAATTAAAAAAGTCCAATCATTCGCCATCCTAGAATTCCTGCGTAAATATTTACAGACCAACGGTCTTGGTGCTAAACTACTTGCATCAAGGGTAGATTTGGACCACTAGTGCATATTGTTAAGATTCGCATCTTCGTTCGGTGCTATATGAAAAGTGACCCAAACGACATAAACTTTATAATATAATAACAAATACCATAAACAACAGGTAAAACACGAAAACAAGTGAAATCAAGGACGAACTTGGATTAATAACTAAATGGCCTTACATGAATTAAACTCCTAAATTCGGCCGTTTTCTGTTAAAAGCAGTATGGCGGCACAAAATTTCTGGAAATTTTAATAAAATTATTGATTGTCGGACTTTCGGACATTTTAATCTGAAAACTATTTACGTATAATTAACCAAGAAAATCGTAAAAATTGTATGGATTGATGATAATGTTACATAAACGTGTTTAAATAATTATGACGTCATTTTTTTTAAGAAAACGCCCGAAACTCGGATGCATGAAAACTGAACTTAAACGTTTTGATATTTTGATGTAATCAGTATACCTCTTTTTGTTTCCTAGCCTACTACTATATTTTTTAGACCATATAATCCTGAGCGGCAGCTTAACATGATTTGTTCTCTTAATATTTCCGGTTAGAGAAAAGATAGAAAGTTGCGGTTTGCGCTGATATTTTGGAAATTTTGTGCTCTATTTAACAGTGCAAAGAGAAATATAGCCTCCTGTTTAATTTCTTTACGCAAAAGCGCAATATCTGTTATGATGTCAAACAGCGCCCTCTAGCTACCACGAAAAAAATTGTGGAAACAAAATTTATACTGGAGATCATTAAGGAAGAAAAGCTCTTTTAAACGAGCCCTAGCTTGTTTAAATCGGGTAACCTAAACCGGAGTTATCCATATTTTAATAAAAGCAAATTTAACCTTCCCCCACCACTTTATTTTGTGAGATAGAGCAAAATACTCTATATCAAAAAAATTACAAATTTTTCGGAGATTACAATAGTAATATTTAAAATATCTGTTCACCTGCATATTTTTCAGAAAAATCCTGTTTTCTGATTGGCTATTAGAGAAACGTCCCCTAGCGGTCATTTTTCGAACTTGAAAATAATTTCCAGCTGTTTCTCTTGGTCGATTTACTTATTATTTTTTTTTCCCAAAGTTATACGATAAGTAGTCTCTGAGATACAGCCGGCGTGCATTCTTAGTTGGCCACCCGGTACTTTGTTTTTTATATACAGGGTCGTGCACCTCATTCGCCACGGTTGATTATACGAAAACGGATTTTATGGGTGTATGTGGGGAGGCAATGTGCACAATTCAAAATTATTTTGAAATATACAGGGTGTCTCAAAAGTAAGATCCATACCAAAGTTATATTTTTTCTTATGGAACACACCCGGTATTTGATTTCATTTTTGGATTCTTGGACACAAAAAAAATGCATTTATTATTAGGGTTAAATATGTTTAAAATCATTGGTTTTTGAGATATTTAAAGATATTTAAATATGCATGCTACAACAGAATTGATTATTAACATCCTGTACATTACTTTTCAGAATTAATTCTTGTGCTGAGTTTAAAGGTAAAGAAATAAACTTTACTAAAAAATGTTATTGCTTCCTTAAATTTATACAGGGGTACCAAAAATTGTTTGTCTATTTTAAATATTTATTTTACATAAAAACTTCGTTATTTCGAATACAACATCCTGTATTTTTTTAAATAAATCGAAGCAGATTCAAATGCTCTATCAAACTATATTAGGGTTTCCTATACCTATCTAGCTCAGATTTTCATTAACGCGCGATTTTTCTATAAAATGGTAACCAAGAGGGCTAGTGTCGTCAAGGCAAGTTTCTAGTGACAATTAATAGCTATTTTCAAAATCGAAATTAGTTTATAGACTTTATTTAAATTTTATACCAGTTTACTTTTATTTAATTTAACTACACTAGTTTAATAAATAATATGTATTAATATGTATTTAACATTCTATCAAGAAAAACGAAAAAGTAGTTCTTTTTTTTTATTTTACGGTGACTGGTAGATGGTATAGTGTATGGATTTTCTATAAAAGAGCCAATTACGGCAAATTCAATTTCTTCACTTCCAACGACAGGCTTCTGCCTAATGTGTTTTTTATAAACTACACTACCAACTCTGCGGAATAGGAAATAGAACAAGTAGTTTTTCAAAGGAACTTAGGAAAATATTTCATTTGGATATCTTTGGGCATAAGCTCTTGAGGCTAAGAAATAATTTTCCTCGCAAAATAAAATCACTAGTAACATAACCATTCGTTTCGCCAGCAGATACGGCTTTATTTTTCTTCATAAAATAAAGAATACTTACTTCTTAAACTATTGTGGATAAATTTTATTAAATTGTTTAACTAATAATGTCCATAAACTAATGTCGATTTTAAAAATAGTTACTAACTGTCACTAGAAAATTACCATGGCGATACCAGCCATCTTGATTGCTTTTTCTTCAAAATCTGAGATAGATAGGCATAGGAAACCCTAATATAGTTTGAAAGAGCATTTGAATCGGCTTCGATTTATTTAAAAAATACAGGGAGTTGCATTTTAAATAACAAAGTTTTTATGTAAATTAAATCCTTAAAATAGATCACCAACTTTTGGTACCCCTGTATATATTTAAGGAAGCAATAACATTTTTCAGTAAAGTTCATCTCCTTACCTTTAAACTCAGCACAAGAATTAATTCTGAAAAGTAATGTACAGGGTGTTAATTAACCTTAAACATATTGAATTCATGATTTCACCAATGCTTCAACATGGCTTTAAATATGATTTTTTTTCAATTTTACCAATTATTTATTTCTATCTCAAAAAAATACAGAGGTATCGGATAGTTGAGCAGAAAAATTATGATAAATAACAGTTAGTAGTTTCCAAAATTGTAATATTATACCGCGTGTTCCATTTAAAATAACAAATTTTCAAATGAAGAAACGAAAAGGCTGACATGCTGAAAATAATTTATAGATAGATGGAGCAGTCCCAAAAAAAAAAATGTTTATCTATAATGCTTTAATTATTTTTTTATCATTCTATCTATCTATTCAGCCTCTTCGGTCCATCATTGGACATAGGCCTCCCCCAATCTCTTCCACTCTTCCCTCTCTGTCGCCGTGCTCACCCATCTTGTGCCTGCATGTTTCCTCAGATCATCGGCCCATCTCATCTGGGGTCTTCCTCTACTTTTTCTATTCTCCCAGGGCCTGCACTTTACGCTGCATTTGTTCCATCGATCATCCTTCTGTCTGACACTGTGACCGGCAAACTGCCATTTCAATTTTGCTACTTCACTTCTAACATACCTTACTTCAGTTTTTCCTCTGATCCACTCATTCCTTTTTCTATCTGCCAGCCTTATGTGTAGCAATTGTCTTTCCATAGATCTTTGAGATTTTGTTACCTTATCCATATTTAATTTTGTCAGTGTCCATGTCTGGGATCTGTAAGTAAGTACAGGGAGTACACATTGATTATATACTGTGGTTTTGAGGTACTGTGGATATCTTTTTTTTTTGTAATATGTAACTTAATTTTCCAAATGCTGCCCAGGCCAGTCTTACTCGTCTCTTTATTTCAGCTGTTTGGTTTTCTTTTTTCAGTTTAATCATTTGTCCCAGATATATATACTCTTCAACTTGTTCTATGTTTTCTTGGTTTATTCTGGTTGTTATGTTTTCATCTGTGTTTGTTATGATTTTAGTTTTAGTGTAGTTCATATTTAGGTCTATTCTTCTAGCTGCTGTAACCAGTTCTTCCAGCATTTCTACCAGTTCTTCTTTCTTTTCTGTTATTAAGGCGATATCATCCGCATATCTTAGGTGATTCAAGTATTGTCCATATATTTTGATACCTTTTTCTTCCCAGTCTAAATTTTTGAAAACGTCTTCTAATGCCTGGTTAAAGAGTTTAGGGGATATTGTGTCACCCTGTCTGACACCTCTTCCTATGCGAATTGGCTTGTCCCTTCGTGGATTTTAATTATTGTTGTTGCTTCGTATATGTTGGCTATTAAGTCTGCGTATCTGTAGTCTGTCCTGCTATTTATTAAGGAAGTTTTTACTGCCCAGTGGTCAATACTATCAAAAGCCTTTTCAAAATCTACAAATGCAATATATAGTGGGATGTTGTATTCAGTGGCTCGTTCTATTAGTATTTTCATAGTTAATAAGTGGTCAACTGTACTGTATCCTTTTCTGAAGCCTGCTTTTTCTTTTGCTCGGTATTGACGGATACTATATATTTTGTTGTTAGTCTATTGGATAATATATTCGTGAAGAGCTTATAAATTACGTTAAGGATTGTTATAGGACGATAGTTTTTTAGATCTGCCCTATCACCTTTTTTATGTAGGATGATGGTTATAGATTCCTTCCAGTCGTTTGGGATTATTTTTTCTATTAGGATTTTATTCAGGAGAATATAAAGAGTATTAACGACAGCTTTTCCGCCGTACTTTAACATTTCTGTTGTTATTCCGTCTTTTCCAGGTGATTTGTTGTTTTTGATTTTCTTCAATGCTCTCTTAATTTCCGATTTGCTTATTTCAGGTTGTAGTTCTGAGTTTACGTTTCTTATTTTTGTTTGGAGTTTCTTTACGGTGTCTACCGGCGGTTCCCGTTTTGTTCCCGTTTTGTTTTTTATCATTACTAATATACAATGTGCTAAGTTATTTCAAAAAGAACCATAACAATACCCGTTCTCGTTATACACATTTTGAATGCAAAACATTTTTAATTAACGCAAGTCTACAAGTTTATTCCAACATATAACTAAATATACAATGGATATTATTATGCAAAGTTTAAACTTTAAACGAAACTTCATGGAAATATCAAGTTATCCATCTAACTTCTTAACCTTCACGTCGAACAAACTTGGAAATTTATTTAGGCTAACTAAACATTCTAGTATTTTCGTGTGCATATTCTCGTTATTAACTATAATAATTATAACAAAATATTTACTTTTCATAAAGTTTTCTTTCGAAATAAGTTTTACAGTGGATTCTATTTATTGAAGGAAAAATTTGAAACCTTCAATTTTAGATTAAAAAACAAAAAAATATATTTTTTGCTATAAACTCATTGACCTAGATACGGACAGATACAACTACAGGATGTCCCCGAATTATTTTTACAAGAAGAAAAATAATTTTATTATTAACAATTCAATGTATTCTGCATAAAGGTTTTCCAGAGGAAAATAAAAAATAAGTATATAAGTAAGTAGTTTGAATTTTCACTCAAAATTCGAAAAATCAAAACGCGTTTTTATGGTAATAAGGATGAGAATAAATCGGATAAGTTTTTGTTTTTTATCAATAATGAAAGTATTATCATTATTTTCATTGTTTTTTACAAAATGTCATTTTTTACTGTATACTATACAGTATACAGGGTGGCGCACCTCATGCGGTTCGGTTGATTATACGAAAACGGAAAGATGTAGAAACAAAATATGTTGTGGGTATATGTAAAGCAATGTGCATTATTTAAAATTATTTTTATATGTACAGGGTGTATCAGAACTAAGATCCATACCAAAGTAATATTTTTTCTTATGGAACACCCGGTATTTTATTTAATTTTTGGATTCTTGGGCATAAAATAGGGCATTTATTATAAGGGTTTAATATGTTTAAATGCTTTGGTTTTTGAGATATTTAAAGATATTTAAATATGCATGCTATAATAAAAAAAGTTTGTGAACACCCTGTACATTATTTTTCAGAGTTAATTCTTGTGCTGACTTTGAAGCCAGAGAAATAAACTTTTCTAAAAAAATTATTGCTTCCTTAATTGCCATACAGGGGTATCAAAAATTGCTGGTCAATTTTAAATATTTATTTTATATAAAAACTTCGTTATTTCAAATACAACACTATGTATTGTAACAGTAGATCTTGTATTTCCAAATAAAACACTGGATTTCCCTCATAACTTCTTTATTACATTTTAGTACTTAGGATTACGACACAAACATGTGTATCGTGCGAGAGCACGGTACCGACTGACTGCGGCGGGCGCCTCACTCACAATCTTATCTCCCGTAACATTCTATCGCCTGTCATAAAAACCATGCATTATGAATAATACAATCTGACATAATACATAAACCATAATTTGTTAATCATAACAATACACTATATAAACAAGGTACTCATAAAAATCATAACACTCGGCCATCCTACTTTCCGGTCGTCCTCGACTTCCCTCCTTTATTGCTTCTGAAAATATAATAAAAAAAAGAAAAAAAAATATTTATTTTTAAGTTTCTATGCTCGCATTAGAGCATTACTTATTTTTAAGTTTGTATGCTCGCATTAGAGCTTTACTTATTTTAAGTTTTATGCTCGCATTAGAGCTTTACTTATTTTTAAGTTTTTATGCTCGCATTAGAGCTTTATTTGTTTTTAAGTTTTTATGCTCGCATTAGAGCTTTACTTATTTTTAAGTTTTTATGCTCGCATTAGAGCTTTACTTATTTTTAAGTTTTTATGCTCGCATTAGAGCTTTATTTGTTTTTAAGTTTTTATGCTCGCATTAGAGCTTTATTTATATTTAAGTTTTTATGCTCACATTAGAGATTTACTTATTTTTAAGTTTTTTTTATTGTCGCATTAGAGCTTTACTTATTTTTAAGTTTTTATACTCGCATTAGAGCTTTACTTATTTTTAAGTTTTTATACTCGCATTAGAGCTTTACTTATTTTTAAGTTTTTATGCTCGCATTAGAGCTTTATTTGTTTTTAAGTTTTCATGCTCGCATTAGAGCTTTACTTATTTTTAAGTTTTTATGCTCGCATTAGAGCTTTATTTATTTTTAAGTTTTTATGCTCGCATTAGAGCTTTACTTATTTTTAAGTTTTTATGCTCGCATTAGAGCTTTATTTGTGTTTAAGTTTTTATGCTCGCATTAGAGCTTTATTTATTTTTAAGTTTATATGCTCACATTAGAGCTTTACTTATTTTAAGTTTTTATGCTCACATTAGAGGCTTTACTTATTTTAAGCTTTTATGCTCGCTTTAGAGCTTTATTTATTTTAAGTTTTTATGCTCGCATTAGAGCTCTACTTATTTTTAAATTTTTATGCTCGCATTAGAGCTCTACTTATTTTTAAGTTTTTATGCTCGCATTAGAGCTCTACTTATTTTTAAATTTTTATGCTCGCATTAGAGCTCTATTTATTTTTAAGTTTTTATGCTCGCATTAGAGCTCTACTTATTTTTAAGTTTTTATGCTCGCATTAGAGCTCTACTTATTTTTAAATTTTTATGCTCGCATTAGAGCTCTACTTATTTTTAAGTTTTTATGCTCGCATTAGAGCTCTACTTATTTTTAGGTTTTATGCTCGCATTAGAGCTCTACTTATTTTTAGGTTTTATGCTCGCATTAGAGCTCTACTTACTTTTAGGTTTTATGCTCGCATTAGAGCTCTACTTATTTTTAGGTTTTATGCTCGTATTAGAGCTCTACTTATTTTAGGTTTTATGCTCGCATTAGAGCTCTACTTATTTTTAGGTTTTATGCTCGCATTAGAGCTCTACTTATTTTAGGCTTTATGCTCGCATTAGAGCTCTACTTATTTTTAGGTTTATGCTCGCATTAGAGCTCTACTTATTTTAGGTTTTATGCTCGCATTAGAGCTCTACTTATTTTAGGTTTTATGCTCGCATTAGAGCTCTACTTATTTTTAGGTTTTATGCTCGCATTAGAGCTCTACATACTTTTAGGTTTTAGGTTTAAATCAGTAACACCTTCGTTGTGTTTTATATTCAAAAATAAATCTCATAAGGTCATCTTAACAAAGACCAGAATCTAATCCTTAATAAAATAATTAATAACCAAATTTCAAAATATAGCAACTGACAATACACGCCTTATACTGGCTGCTAAAGTATTTGCTTATATTAACACCATCTAAACATTTAATTCTGATCTACTTAAATTTTGATTTTTGTTTTATTTTTAATAGTAAGTAATAATGAAAATAAGTAAAGTGGGGACAACCTAATCCACTTTTAAATTGTTGTATTAAGAGTAAATTGTAACTTTAAAAGAACGTTCGTTCATCCTGACCTTACTCGCATCGCTGCAAATCGATGTCTCTTTTTATGGTTCTAAGGAATTGAATGTTGAAACATACAAAACTTTATATCTACTTAATAATTGTTCGCCTTAAGTGAATCCATAAAGTCAAAGAGTATTTTATATTAGACGTTAGATTTCTTTTTTTTAATATTAGACGTCACATTATGGCAGATACTGTATTTTGTAGTACCCCAATTGTCAGGATTAATTATTTATTACAAACTCATTTGATCTTTGATTATTGCATAGATTTCATTTAGTTTTTGACTGAAAATTTTATTTACTATGGAACTGTAATTTTTTTTATTATTTAGAAATATTTATCTGCCAAAAGCTTTCATAAACTGATTTATTTTTCTTTTACTTCTATTTGCAATTTTAAATCACACTTCTCCAAATTTGAGAATTAAATTCACCTTGCTTTTCATACAGTAACCAACCAAGTATATTTTCAATCGATTCATATTTTGACCCTATTTTAATAAGAATAAGTATTAATGAATAATATTCCAATTATTTTTAATACTAAAGATATTTCGTTTTTATTTTTAAATATTATTTTTTTTATTTACTATTTTTACTGAAAAGTTTAGATTCAATTAGACCACCAATCAGAACCCAGTTGAAGAGGATCGGGCCCATAATCCCCTGCAACCAACGATCCTCAATGATCATTATCGAAGCCAAACATTAATTAATTAATATGGGTTGCAGCATTGTAACCCTGTGCTTTTACAGATACGTGTTACTAAAAGTATAAGAACATTTAGTTCTAATTTTTTATACCTTCCTGTAAAATTTAAAATTAATTAAAACTGAAACTTTTGTTAAAACTGGAGATGTTTTTTTTATAGTCTTAAATATTAAATATCAATTTACTAATAATAGCCAACTTCATGAAAGACTGGTATGGTTTTTCATAATTCCTTGTACGAAATATAGTGTTAGTTGTATGCAGTAATTTGTTTGTAACAGGTTTTTTTTACCAAAGTTATTTTTTTTACCAAAGAACTTTAGTTTTTATCAATATGCTTCGAACATTTTATTAAACTATCGCAGTTGTCTTTAAAACAAAATATAGAAATATTAGAAATATTGATGATATTCTGATCCTCTTTGTTTAGCAAGTACTTAGTCATATTTAATTCTTGGTATTTTTAATTAAAAAGAAAATTTTATCCTGTAAACATACAGGGTGCAATTTGAGTGTTTTTGCTTGAACTCTGTTGTGGTTAAATAGGAAATGATATTTACTCAATTGTTTTTAATAAGAAATTATTGAGTTTTGATAAACTATATACAGCAGTCAAATTTGCAACATTCCATGAAAGCTGGAGGCAATGAATTGATATCTGTACCTAACTGCTATTCATAAGTAATAAACATAAATTATTATTTTGTTTTTTCTGATACTTTAGTGTTGATGAACACTACAGATTGGAAATTATATTTTAATTTAATTAAATTCGATTTTTTTTAAATGCATTAAGAATTTTGTTAAATAAATAGTACAGAGTGAATAATGGTGTGATGACTTGAAAGGATACATATGA